TACACTAATGCTTCTGTCTCACCCTATTTTTGTTCACTGAATGGGGGGGCCAGTAATAACCTCACCTTGACCTGGCCCGGGCAGTGTCCTGGGCCATAGGTTCCTTGGGTCCTGTACCTTCTGCAGTGTCAGACAGTGTACCTGTGGCACGGTCAGAAATGCCTCCTGATTAGCTGGCCACTGACAAGAGGGCATTTCGGTCTCACTCCGAGGGGTGCAAACCAAGAGTAGAGATGACCTCATCCAGCTTTGTTTCCCACTGACATTTACAGTGTCCCAGTGAGGCAGGGACAGGTTATTCCAAAGTTACATCTATCCACGGATGGATTAATTTAAAATGACGAAGCTCTATGGTCTGGGCATTTCGCAATCAGATGGGACCATGGCAAGGACAGGGATGATGGCAGGCAGGGGCGGGAGCCAGGCCACCAGTGGGGAAAGCCAGCTGGTGAGTGGACAGATTAGAAACCATACCTATATGGTTGAACACCTGGATATTTTCTCACTCAATATGCTTCTGTTAAAATGTTTAGATAATGCCTTTAAAGAAATTAGAATACAATGAAATAGAGAAACAATGTTGGTTATGATTTCTCCTTTGGAAAAATATAAAGAAATCATTTTTACCATTAAAGCTGAGAGATGCCCATGCACGGAGCTGAAAGCAGCTCTGTGGGGCATCGGAAAAGGAATGGATTTGGAATTGGAAGATTGGGGCTTGCACACAGACCTGCAACTCGCTAGCAGTAGGACAACGGGCAGTCATTTGGAGAGGTGTCGTTAGTGCCAAAAGCATGGGGTTATGAAGGCACATCAACCTGGCCACTAGAGCCATTTGACCTCTGGGAGTCTCCATTACCTTATTTTTCACATTAACGGTGGCGCTGTATGAGCACAGTGGGCCTTCTAATGCATTACTCTATAGAGTTTATAGAAAAAAATGGAATGAAGGAAAGCTTCCATGCACTCAATAAACAGAAAGAGTTTGGATCCACAGTGGCCTTTACCAGGGCCGAGTCCACCAACCGAGTCTGCATCGCCATCCTTTGACACACATGAGCAGGGCCCCCCACATGCCCAGGAACACAGCCCACCCCACCCCTACAGTCTTTTGTTAATGAGCCATGAACAAACCATGCACAGAAAGAAGCTTCTTTTTTTCTTCAATTTAATTGAAGTTACTTAGAAAAATAATCAGGCTTGAATGGCTTTTCCTGGAGGAAGGTTCATGAACATTTCACGCTTTTGTTGGCAATGTGGAATTCAGCTTTCTTTAACAGTACAGCAAGATACAGGGAGAGTTTTCTACAACAGACCCTCTACTGCATACAAATATGTAAAAAAAAAAAAAAATCACACTCCACAGAGATGTTAAATTATATGCCCATATGCCATACTGAGCATGCTTATAAGAAAACAGTACGGGCAGCTCCTTCTGTACCTAACAAAGAACAGAAGACTGAAATTCGCCTGTGAACGGACAAGGGTCAACCTAGTTCTGGAAGGTCCTGTGGCCTGTTCGTAGGGTCCCATTGACCGTGACGGGAAAAGGCTGGAGGAAATGCTGGTGGTAGGAACTTGGGGATGTGATGTGGTCAGTCCTGCTGACAGAGAGGTGGGCAAGGGAGGGGTTTGGTCACCAGGGTTGCACACAGTGGGGCAGCTTGCACTACGCATGTGTACATGCGTGTGTGTGTGTGTGTGTGTGTGTGTGTGCGTGCAGGGGAGCACTGGGCTGAGGCAGCGGAGTGCCTCTGCTGCTTGCTACGTTAGAACAGGGACTTCTGCAATCACTGTCTCAGCTCTGGTCCAGACCCCACCAGCTAAGTGTGCTAGGGACTCGCACACTTTGTTCTGGAGCTTTCTGTTAGCATGGATTAGGCCCCTTGTGCTTCCACGCCTTTGCCACCAGGAGAACTGGTGTGACTGAAGTGTCCGCCGCCCACTGCTCTCCTGTGGCACCTACATCCCAAAGGAGCAGGAGGGGGAAGCTCACCCGGTGGACAGGGAGGAGGAAAGTCTCCTCTGAGGCACCCCAGGTCAGCAGACTGCCCTTCTTCCCAGACCAGCTGGGGAGGGCGGCGAGGGGTGTCTGGACAAGCTACAGGAATAATCGAGAGTTTTCCAACCAAAGGGACAGGGTAGGCAGGAATGTCCTTGTAAATACTACCCGGACTGTACCTGGTCTTTAAAACACAGCAACACCTTTGAAAAGCGGCTTGGAGATGGGACATCTGCCTGTACTTTTCTCCAGCTAAGCATGCATAGAAAGCGGTTTCAAACATTTTTCTTTAAAAAACACTAACTTTCATTTCCCAGGCATACTTACTTCACCAATGGATTTCTTTAACCAAGGACACAGAATACTTTCTACATTCTGCAAAACAGTTGAATCCATTTTTTAAAAAAGTTTTTATGCCATTAGAAAATAAAATGTGAACACAAAACAAAACACGAGGAGAAAGAGTCCCTCATTTCAGAAACCTATTGATGTGCTGTCCCCTGAAGGACAATCTTTCTCACCCAGGAGAGAGAAGCTGGATGAAAGAAGGCCGTCTGCGCGTAACACTGAGCAAGCTTGCACAACTGATCAAAGGCAGGCACGGAAACGTAAAACAACGTGAATTTCCATTTAAAAACCAAAAAAGCACACAGTGAACAATTCCAAGCTGTGGAACTGAAGAAGCACTCTTCAAAAGATCACCACTCCCATTAAGCATCTTTAAGGCTTGAGGAGCAGGGAGCCACTCTGGGCCATATACGCCCCTCCTCTCCCCTCCCTTCCTGCTGTCCACACCACCCAAGACTTCCCTCCACGCCCGTCCGGAGGGATGGGATCGTTGTCTGTGGCAGTATCCAGGATTAGAACCATTGCACTTTAGTAACAGTTTAATTCATCTGGTAAAGTACCTCTGTTGCTATAAACCAGATGGAGACTGTGGCGGTTTGGTTTTCTTATTTTGGAGGGGTGTTGGGGTGGCAGTTTTTATCCTTGAAGACCTCGGATGTGCTAAATCAACCTAACCAAAGTATATTCTGTGGAACACTCTCTCTGTGAGATGATCTGCAGAAGAGAGTACTCTGGTCACCTAAGTTCAGGAAATGCTCCTGACTCAATGATGCCCTGGGGGATTCACAATGCACAGCACATATTCAAGGCTCTGAAAAGTCCTGCAGAAAGGGAACTGACTTGACTTAACCTGTGTTCTCTAGAGCACGTATTAGAAAATGTTGGCCAATCTGTTTCATTAGCACGAGCCCTTCTGAGGACAGTGTCCCCACCTGGAAATAAGGTCCAGACTCAGTTCCAGGGACAGCCGCGGTCTGTCACTCTAGTTGGTAAAACACATTGCATAAATCTCTATCCATCTAGGGCATAGTTGCTGTGCCCTTCACGAAGGGGAGAGAGCTCGGAAGAAGGTACACAACGTCTTATAAATAGCTTCAGTGACATTCTCCGGTGCACATCTCACTCACATTAAATAAAATAATTTCCTCAGTGAGATGCTGCAGCCGCTGCTCACTGAGCTTGCTGTGAGCCTTACAATACAACTTTAATAGTTTCTGTGAATAAATTATTCATTTTTTGTTTGTTTAGAATATTCTCACCCCTTCACTATATACTGCATCAAAAACAAAACAAAAAGCAAAACCCCGTCCCACCCTCCCCTATTATTAGAACTATTATTATTATTATTATATACAGTATCTGCTACCGACTCATTCACTAGCTGTAAGAGGGATGTGGCTCAAACTTCAACTGAGAAGCATTGGAAATGGCTGGAAATGAGAAGCGTGTGTAGATGTTAATTAGCAAGGAACAGGAAACGAAAAGTTCCCAGCCTTCCAGAGGCAAGGGAGCATGGGTTAAGAGCACGGAAGGCTGTCCTTGCTGCTCATGCATGGCAGTCACGAAGGTGCCAATGGTCTCTCAGTCTCTGGAGGACGCGGGAGGGTGTGCATGTGCGTTTGTGTACAAATAGCCCACCTCTAACCTTCACCCTTGCAAACCCCTGAATGCATGCGTCTCACTCTTGTATGTGGCAAGCAGTAGAAGACAGCACTTCTACGTGGGGATGCGGATGTTGGCTGGAGAAGGCAGTAGGAGGCACTTGAGGAGCATTCCCCTCCCTCACCCAAGGCAGACATTGCTAATCAATCACAGCACTCTCCCACGCTGTGCCTGGAGAATCCGTTCTAGGGCTTAAAGGCAGACACTACCAATAAATTGGAAGGGGTGCATGATAGGAAACATTTTTCCCATCTCATGTGTTGGGCAATGAGTTTGAGATCACTCACAAATTTAAGTGGCCTGCTCCAAGCATGTGGTTTCCAAATTTGGGCCATAGAAAAATGAAAATTTGTAGGGGTCATGAACCTTCTGAGGCTGCTCATGAATAGTCCAAACCCCATGTAAAGTCCAAAAATATCAGGGGTTTGCTAATTGTTGAGCTGGAAGCTCGGTGTCCATGTAAAGCTTCTTGAGGGCCAAGACTATTGGGTTTGTTCAATGCTATAGCTGCATGGCCTAGAATATAGTAGGTGCTCAATAAATACTTGTTGAAAATGAAGCAACAGCCACTTCACCTTCACCACAACTGGCACTGCCAGTTCAAAATTTCTGTAAAAAAGTCTATTCTATCAGACTACTAATTCTGGTGAAAAATTTGCTACAATCAGCTCTCTCCTTGGGTTAAAAAAAAAAAATCACATTTCTTTAGTGCAAGGGACTTTCAGGTTTGGAATGAGTCCCCTGAAAAGATGCCTCTAAGTGCAATAGCAACCTATTTATTTCTAGCAGAAATTCAAGAATGGTGGCACTCGTACACACGACGCTGGTTGTTATCAGATGGCTATGACTCCATAAAAGGTTAGGAAGGAGAACATTCATGCCCCCAAGTGAGCTGTAGCAAGCAAAGCACGAAACATAGATTTCTTCTGGAAAGACATTAAAATTTTGCTGCCACAAAAAGAAATCTATAGAGACCATGTTTAAATAACTATAAATAATATTAATTAGAATTTATGGAATGCACAATTCATGGAATTCACCAGAACACAAGGAAACCTTTGAGACAGTGTTGCAGTATTCAGTTCTAAAAACAAGGACACCCCATCCTATTCCCCTGCAAAGACAGCTGTCCTTCCCTACGAAGGATTTTAAATAATTCTCACTATGCTGCTCGCAGCATCACCCCCAAAGAAATATTAATTTACAAAATAACCCAATATCCATATAATTTTTCTGACAAATAAAAATCTTAAATTAAAAAGCATGATTCTCTCCCTCTCCCCACCCCCTTTATTCCAATTTCAGGTAGCTTGGCACTGAGTAATTGAACATTAAAAAATCGAGTTTGTAGACTTCGTACAGCTGCGTTTGGTGCTCTGAGCTGATGTTCTGGAAGAATTCTGTGGTCATTTCATCAGTAGTTCTCGTAGACTTTGCATAGGTGGGGAACTTCAGGTAGCTGCCCACTCCTGCCAGCTGCAGGACGTAATTAGAATCCTCTTCCAGTGTCTCGTACTTGCCCACGAGGTCGTAGTGGATGTGGCAGGGGTGGCAGAGCGAGTAGACGGTTTGCCAGTGTTCGTTGAAGGGCTCCTCCCTCTGGGTGTGTGGGTCGATGAGATAGGCCACAAATTCCTCGAACTTGACGTCGTCCCCTTTGCGCAGGGCCTCCTGGGTGGCGTTCTTGCGCTGGCGTTTGATGATCTTGGTGCCGTACCGCTTGTGGAAGGAGGTGTTGTACTTCTGCGTGAACTTGTTGCGGTAGGCGGACACCAGCCTCTCGAAGGGCTCCCGGACAAACAGGAATTTCATGTAGCTTTTCAAGCGGTGGTTGATTTCTGGGATGCTGTACTGGTTCAGGGTCTTCAGGTTGGCAGAGACATGGGCCTCGTTGGCCGGGATCTCCATGGGGTCGCTGTACTTGCCCCGCCCGGTCAGGACCATCATGAGCCGCTTCCAGTTGGTGCACGCCACCTTGGGGACGTAGCAGTAGATGAGCTCGTGATCCTCATCCACCACTAAGTGCTTCAGGTCGCTGGGCGTCAGCACCCGCCGCTTGCGGCTCATGGCACTGTTGGCGCGGCACGTGTCCGTCACCTGGTCCCGCCGCATCTGGTGGAGGACGGCAGTGTTTGAGAGCTCCAGCTGCAGAGGGGACACAAGAGGAATAAGGACTCAGTACTTGTCTGGAACATTTCCATCGGCTGCAAGGGGATCCTCAACCCCCTCGTTGGAACATGTATTGCGGCCTCAGGATGGAAAAGGAGCCCTGCTTAGCGCGGTGGTCTGGGAGGCACCAGGGCAGAGAGCTGGCAGCCTCGATGGAGGCCAAAGGGAAACGTGCGGGAAGATGTGTGTGTTCCTCTGAATTCTAAGAGCAAAGGTCTCTTTGCAGAGGCCACTCGTTCCCAGTCTGAACCAGTCCTCCCAGGCCATCTGGAATAGGAGACCCGAGACCACTCTCTCCTGCTCTGCCACCAACCTGGTGCCTAGCAGCCCGACACTCAGAGACCTTTATGGAGTGGAGGCTTTGTGCCATACCTCCACCTACTCCTCACAAAGGTGCAGTGTGGCCCTTCTTCTCAATATAAAAGGAATTAATTTGAATTGTGGTTAAACTTATGGAGACATAGGAGCCACCAGGGCTATGGAATGGTTGTTCTGGAGCTGCAGATGACACGGTGTCCTGGTTGCCTCCTTGCCCCAAGAACCCCTGTTCATACGCTGGTCATTGGAGGTTCTCCACAGCCCAGCATCATGAGCACCTTCCCAGCCTCATTCCTACTCCTTGCCCCTTCATAACAGAAGGAGGCTCCCAAGAAACCAATGATTCACTCTTTCCCTTTTGTCACAAGCATTCCTTGGGCTGGGCCCATCTGGGACTCTCCAGTCCCCCTCTGCTGGTACACAGTTGGCAGTCCCCATGCATTCCCCTGCCACACAGGTGGAAGAATCATTCCTCCCCTGAGCACCCTCAGCACCAAGTGTCCATACAGCACAGCTCCCCAGTCTACTCATTCTGTGTTTCCTCACGTCCTGTGGCCACTTGCTTCGCAGGGACGCGGAGCCCCAGAGCAAACTGCCTCCTCCGATCCAGACTGTGGGTGGCCTCCAGTCCTGAGAATGCAGAGCTATCAGTGAAATTCCCCCAACCACCCAGACAGCCGAGTCAGTGGAGCCCAGGGCCTGGGTGTCACCCAAGAATCTGGCCCTGCACTTCCAACTCTGAGCCACAATCTGCAAAATGCATCCTAAAATGTGCACGGGGCAAAAATGAGAAATACCCATGAGTTTACTGGGACCCGAGGGATCTCCTGGTAGCCACTGGGGAGAAGCCCATGCACCCTGCATTAGCGCGTGCCCAGGATGACAGGATGGTGATGATGGTGACGATGACAACCGCAGATAGTGCGACCAAGGAGCTCTGTATCAGGCATCTTCACAGGTGATTTAAATACATTATGTCCAATCTTCCCAGCAACACTCTGAACAAGATGCTATCACCACTAAAAATGTTCATATTCAAGGGAGGAAGCAAAGCAAGACAGAGTGCTAACGCTTTGCCAAGTCCGTGTGGGAACAGTATGGTGATTCTCTCGTTGCTTCCCCCTCACGAAGAACTGGCAGAAATCTGAAAGGAGATGTCAGTACCCTCCTAATGTGCCTTCCCCTAAGCAATCTGACCTTGACACTCCTCCCATCAAGAAGTGCAGTCTGTTTCTCCAGCCCCTTGAGTGTGGGCCGGCCGGACTTGCTCTGATGAGTCAATGTGGTGGAAGCTATGGTGATCAGTTCTGGGCCTATTACGAAGGCCCGCAGTTCCTACCTTCACTCTCTTGCAATGCTGCCCCGAGACAGTCACGCTACGGAAAGCCCTGTCCAGCCGCCTGGAGGCTGAGGGGGACTGTGGCACCCCAGCTGGCACTGACGGCCGGACATCCAGCGACCACAGCTGTGTGAATGATCCCGGGTGAGGCCGGCAGACTTGCCCAACTGCCTGCCCACAGAATTGTGGCAAGTGACACATCAGTGCTGTTTTAAGCCGCTAAGTTTTGGGGTGGTTTGTTACCCAGCAATAAGTAACCGAAACAGGGTAGCTGGAAAGGGTGGCTGGGACGTGATGCTGAGACTGTCGGCCAGAGTCCAGAGGAGCAAGGGCCCCACAGAGATTTTAAGTTTCTACTTGGTAAAAAAGGGTTGGCCTGCAGGAGTTTACTGAATTGGGAATAATTCGCAAATTATTGGCCCAGTTATTCACGGGCCAAATGCCACCAGTCAACAAGCTTAACTCCACGACAAAGGGCAGAGCAATAATCTCAGAGAGGCCTGGGCTACTGAATCAAGGGTCCAGTTTCTGAATCATTATGGCCTCAGTGTGGGGCTGGGTCTCCCTTAGCGGTGTTTTCCTTGGCTGTACAATGGAGAGCATCACGCCCATGCCTGCTGGGCTGGTGTGAGGGTTATAGGGAATGGACTGTGTGGAAAGGCCTGAACACAGCAGACAGATAATCAACATTATTTCCTCCTCTCTTCCCTCTCTGGGCCTCGCCCGCCCTGTCTGTGGAAGGAGGCAGTTAGGGGGTCAGCTGATTGTCAGGGTCGTGTCCACCTTTATTGTTGGGTAGAGCCTAGTTCCTTCCAGGGTGGCCAATTGGTGGCCAGATATTCTGTTCTGAGTCCCACAGAGAATCTTCCAGAATGGTCTTCCTCCCTGCCTAGGTTCTGGCATTACTTTATCTTGTTGAGATTTTGCCACAAAGTCTCAGTGCCCAGTAGCCGTGGGCACTCCATCAATCCAAATATCTAGTGATGTTATTTTTCAGTTCTCCAAGTATAAGTGACGCCATGAATATGCCAAGAAATGTAGAAAACAAGCTGCAGAATGTCCTGATTTTCCCTTGTGCACAATACATATCAGGATAATATCTAACATCTAACATCTATCTGACTGAGTGCTCCTTGTGTACCAGGTACTGTTATAAACACTTTACACAGCTTAACTTCTTCAATGCAATCAGCAACCCAAGGGGTCGGTTTTATTACAATCCCCACTTTATGGCTAGGGGACTGTCAGATGCGGCATCACACGTGTAATATTGAGAACGCTTTGCAGAGCGCGTCCTCGCTTGTTATCTCGGGGAAGTCCTCCCACATTCCTAAAGCTATGCTGGCCTCAGCATTTCCATTCTGTCGGTGAGGAGACAGGCTGGATGACTGCCCCAAGGTAAGCCCCTCTGTGGGAAGCAGAACCGCGACTCACACCAGATCTTGTGACTCCAGATCTATGCTTTGCACACCATTCCGGCCTAAAGCGTTCTCCTGGCCAAACACAAGCACTACGAAGTGGGGACTTTGCCTTTCTGCGGCTGTATCTGCAGTGCTTGCAAAAGTGCCTGCCACATAGAAGATGCTCTATGAGTATTTGTTGAGTGAATGAATGAATGATTTAATAATCTCTTTAGGGTAACTTGATATGCAAATAGGAAGGCCTCTCTGTGGCTAAAGAAATTTCCCAGTTGTTCACAGATACCAGACAATTCTTTACTACAGGGTGACCTTGTACGGAAATAGGGTTTTTGCAGATCCAATTAGTTAACATGAGTTATGCAGGATTGGGGTGGGCCCCAATCCGATGACTGGTGTCCTCATAAAGAAGAGAAAGCAGAGACGTAGAGACGTACAGGGTGAATGTCACACGAGGACAGAGTCGCAATTAAAACGATGTCTACAAGCCGAGGAATGCCAAGAATTGCCAGCCACCACCGGAAGCTAGGAAGAGGCCAGGAAGGATCAACTCCTAGAACTTCAGGGAGAATATGGCTCTCCTAACACCTTGATTTCAGACTTCCAGCTTCTAGAACTGTGAGAAGATAAATTTCTGTTGTGTTAAGCCACCCAGTTTATGGTGATTTATCACAACAGTGTTAGGAAGCTAATACAGGAGTCAGGCATTCAATCAATAACTTTGAGCAAGTTGATACTAAAGCATAAATGTGTAAAAGAAGATAACATTATTTAAAAGAATATTCTTACCCGAAAAAATAAAGCAAGCGTATCAGGGCACTAGTAAGCAGGACGAGGATGAGAGTTGAAATCAGAAGATTCAAAGCCCAGGACCTGACCTTGGGCAACAGCCTCAACCTTCTGAGTCTCAGTTCCCTTATCTGCAAAATGGGATAGTCCAACCTACCCCGCAGGGGTGCTGATTAAGTCAAATAAAGCACAGTTCAGCATTTAGTAAATAAGATCAAGTTTAGTACAGGATTTGGACAAGGTATGGCACAAAGTAGGTGGCTAATATGTAGGCATTATTTTATGAAAGAAGAAGGGAAAAAAAGGCCTGGAATCGCAAGATTAATTCCATCAGCTAATTCTGCTGCAGGTCAGTCCTAGGTCACTGAATTCAATTCATATTTATTTTGAATAGAAAAACTCTGACCTTTGCAATTCATGACTTCTTAGCAGATGTATTCATCACCTTAAGAGGAGCATTCACGGACCTCCTGGGCTATTAAGCAATGTCGTTAAAAAAAAAAAAAGCGTCCTAAAGGAAATGGAAGAACTTAGAAGGAAACAGTGTCCGCCAATTTTGTCATTTGAATTGCTAAGGACAATTTAAGGCAATAAGTTACTAAGATGAGCAAAGGATCAGCCGCCACCCCAACCCCTGCCCCGCACCATCTTTCAGTTGGAGATAATTTCCTGGGTGTCTGAATGCCCAGGGAGGTAGCATGCCAGTTAATACCGCATTCAGGAGCACAAAGGCAGAAAAAATGGAAATGATACCACGGTGTCATTATACGTCCAATTGCAGAGGCAGAAAGTAATTGAGTGACGCTTTAAAATGTGGTATTTGAGGTTTCTTACTCTTCCTTTTCTTCTCCAGAGCAGTTTAGGATCCAAACGGTGCACGTGCGGCAACAAGGCGCACGCAGTTTCCCTCGGGAGGGCTTGGGAGCATGCGTGGGGAGGACGCTTCACAAATCGGAGACGTGTCCAGGCTGCTAGTAAATTTACCTGGGCCTCTAGCACTAAATTTGTAAAAAATATATTTTAAACTGTTTTCATAAATTTTTATTTTGAAATAATTTCAGACTAGTGTTGATTTAAATTATCCAAATAAAATGTTACTAAAATATGCACAA